TTTCAACCATTCCACCACTCTTTTAATGCACTCTCTGTATTTAGTCTTTGAAAAGGGGGGCGGGCGGGAAGGCCGCAGGCAGCAGCCAGGAACAGAAAACAACAAACCCCAAGCTGTGGAATGTTTTAAAAATGAGACCTGAATGGCGTGGAACTGAGGCCGCCCTCGCCGTTCACTCACACACACCTCGTCCAGACGCTCTCCCTCCCCGATTGTGTCTTCGTGAGTCGGTACTTTCACTTAGAGACCGATCTGCTTTCACAGCTCCCTGTGCTACTTTCATTTTGTGGTGCCTGAGGATGTCGGCCCGAGTCCGGCCCGCGCTCGCTCTGTTCGGGCGGGACACCGGGGACCGTCTGTGCCCCTCGGGGGGAGTGGTGGGTGCTCTGCTCCGTCGCGCGTGGGTGAGTGTCCCCTGAGCTGGGGAGGACCCTGCGGGGAGAGACGGAGCGAGTGCGGCGGCCGTGAGCGGTCTGTGCGGTTTGCTTGGATGATCGAGACCGTTCTCTGCCTGCTGACAGAGGAACTGGTGTGGGAGAGGACGAGATTGGCCTTCATCTGATTCTCTCACACAGGGACAGGTTATTCCATTAATCCAGACAAATTTCAAACTTAAGATTTATGAAACGTGTGGGGCCCCACAGCCTGACTCGCCCACTCCAGCTGCCATCCCAGTAAATGCATACAGAATTATCACAGACCTAGAAGACGGTTTTTAAGCCGTTCCTTTACAGCCCGGTGAAGGCGGGAGGTTCACATTCGGTGACTTTGCTTTTGTAATTTTGAGAAACCATGAAGCAATATCACTGGAAAGTTTTGCCTCAAGGAATGGCTAACAGCCTCAAGTTATATAAAACGTTGTTGTTGCTTTAACACAAGCAGAGCTCGGCTCTCTCAGTGTGTTTACATATTATCATATGATAGTATATATTATCATATATTGTCAGTATTATCATGTATGACTCACCGTGTGACACTTCATCAGCTGATCTCTGGAGGCGTTTCTCCCTCTTTGCGCTCAGACACGACCTTCGGACTTTTGGGGAGCGAGAGCTTCTCGCTCCAGAAACAGTTCCGGCTGAAGTTCTGTAATTAAATAACTCACGGATCTCCACGGCCCTGTCCGCGTGCTGGGGGCGTGGCCTGGGCCTATGGGGCGTGGCCTGGGCGGACGGGGCGTGGTCTGGGGTCTGTGGCCCTTGACTGTTGGGGGAAGAGACCGAGAGGGTGTGGTCGGGTCTGTGGGCGTGGTTTCTATTGGATGAGGGTGGGGTCTTGCGATGTGGGCGGGGAGTCTGGAAGTGCGCATGGCCAGGCAAGTGGCTGGGCGTTTGTAAGGAGTCTGTTTGCTGGGGGCGTGGTCTAGGGGACCTGGAGGCGTGGCTCCGGGTTGACTGACAGCTGCATTTTCCCTCCTCGGGAACCTCAGCCCAGCTGAGTCGGGGGTGCGGCCGCGGCCCTTTGACGTCACCGGAAAAGACGGGGGCGTGGTCACTCGGGGCACTGAGCTGTCAATCAGGACAGCAGAGCCTGCCCCCAGCTTAAACTCCGTAATGGTGGGCAGGGCTTGGGCGCTCACTGACGTCAGGTAACGTCACGAGGCCAAGAGACAGGTGCGGGTGGCGCGACGTCTGACGTCTCCCATCTTCCCACGGGGCCAGGGACTGAGGTTTGTGAGGGCGGGGATGACTGACTGGTGAGGGCAGGACTTCCGGTTCCCTCCCCTGCCATTTTTAAATTTTCGCATGCGCATGGGGGGCGTGGCCTGCGCCGTCGCCGCGGCCGGAGAGGTCAGGGGTCGCGCGGACCGCGGGGAGGACTCCAGTCACCACCCCCCTCATTGAGCAATTTCTTGAGATAACCGAGCGACTGAGGGAGCGCGGGGTCAGGGCCTTGGGGCGGGACACGACCACTGTGACGTCACCGCCTGGGGTCGCGACCCCGATGACGCCACCGCGACGGCGAGGAGGGGGTCGCGCACGGTCTCCTCGGGGCGGAGTGGAGGCAGGGGGATGGCCGCGATGCCCGGTTCTAGTTGTTTCCCTGGAGATGGGCGGAGGCGAGGGGACTTGTGACTGATGCGGCCGCTTCCGCGCGGAGCTGGAATTGAGGCGGGGGAGGGGGTGTGGCCGGGATGGGGCGGGGCTTCCCCAGCTCCTCGGCTGAGGCCACGACTACCTCCCCCGGACGTCGTCTGTCAATCACTTGGCCCCGCCCACTACAGCGTCCTGGAAACACGTTTATTAAAAAATAAATCTCCCCCCCCCGAAGCCGGCCTGTCAATCACGGCCTGGGGCGGGACTTCCTTGATGACGTCAGGGCCGTGGGTGGGGCTACGGCTGCAGCAGATCCTTCCTCAGCACCTGCGGGGGCGGGGGGCGGGGTCAGAGGTCACAGGGTCAATGAGGCCTCGCCCCTCCACCTGCCCCGCCCCAGCCCGCGGCCTCTGACCTCCGGGTTCAGGTGCTCGTTGTCCGACACCTTGTCCTTGATCCCAGGGATCGCGGGGAGGAGGAGCCTGGGGTCAGGGATCACGGCGGTCATCCCCCTGCCTCACACCGCACTCGCGGTCATCCCCCTGCCTGTCTCACACAGTGCTCGCGGTCATCCCCCCGTCTCACCTCCGGCACGCCGCCCCGAGCGCCAGCGCGCACAGCAGGGCCGCGCAGGCTGGCAGCGCGTACAGGAGGACAGCGGGCAGAGGAGCGGGATCCGGGCCTGCGCGGGAGGGGGTGGGGCAAGCACGGGTCAGGGGTCACCCGAAGGAAGCCCCGCCCCCGAAGCCCGGTGGTCTTGGGTGAGCTGGGGCGGAACTTCTCGGTAGAGGTCCCGCCCCTGGGAATCGACGGGCGGAGCTTCATCAACAGGCCCCACCCCTTTTCCAAAACAGGAAATTGGTGGGTGGGACTTCACGTTAGTCCGCTGCTGGTTGGGGTTTGGTAGGCGGGAATTGGGCAAAGTGGGTGGGGCTTCCTTGTTGTGGGTCAAGCGGATGTGGGTTGGGGTTTAGTGGGCGGGGCCTGGATACATCACCGATCTCGTGGGCGGGGCTCCAGTCGCTCCAGCGCTCGCTCCGCACGTCGCCAGCGCGCACCCTGACCTCGTGGCGGCCGCGGGGGGCGGGGCTGGGGAAGGTCACCGCGGTGACGCCAGTGACTAGAACCTGAGGGGCGTGGCCTGCGGTAGGTGTGACGTCATCCACCCACCCTCCCGAAGCCCCGCCCACACGGGGGTCGGAGGTCGCGCTACCTTCCTGGGCTCCGAGCTGGGGTCACCGTCCTGAGGGAGTGGGCGGGGTCTGAGCGGAGTGGGTGTGACACCCTCGACCCCGCCCCAACCGCACCCCCATGTGGGAGTCCCGCCCACCTTCCACTCCACCTCGAAGCGGAAATCGCGGGCGGACATGGCCGCCAGGGTCGGGGGCGGGGCCCAGTCCACTGCGCAGTGGGAGGAGTTACAGGAGGCATTGACCGCGCCCGGGGGGCTGAGCCGCTCTGTGGGGGCGGAGCCGGGTGTCAGTCGCGCTCTGGCCACGCCCACGTCATGCTCACATGCCCCGCCCCCGCCCGTCACTCACACCGAGACCCTGCCCACCGATGAGTTTGGTGTTCAGCACAGCATCCAGGAAGCGCACCGGCCCCGACTGGCTTGATCCGGTCACCACGACGTAGGCGCGTCCCCGCAGCCGCGAGAGGTCATCCGCCCGGCACCGTGTGACGACCTCGCCGCCCGCGGGGGCGGAGCAGCGCGCGACCTCGTGACCCCTGTGTCGGGGAACGGGCGGCGGGGTTGGCGATGACGTCGTCAATGATGTCATCCACAGCCGCGCACAGCGGCGCCGCCCCACGCCCACCAGTGATGTCATCAATGATGTCACTGCGCGCAGGGGGCAGCCCTGCCCAGTTTTGATTGACTGAGTCCCTATCCAGGCCCCGCCCCTCTCGTTTTCCCTCCTGTACCCCGGTCGAACTTCCTGTGTGGGCGTGGCGGCCCTCAGCCGGCCCCGCCCCTGACCCCTGTGACTGTTGACAGGTGGGCACAGGTACTTTAGGACAGGAGGTTCCCACACTGGCCCCACCCCTACCGGTGACGCCATCGATGATGATGTCATCCCCATGCTCACGGGAAACGCCCATTTCCTGCTGAAGCCCCGCCCACACTGTTGATTGACGGGCATCCCCGAAGCCCCGCCCCATCACTCACGTGGCGTTGCGGACACTCAGCGAGTACCGCACGTCCGCGGGCGCCGCCGGCCCCGCCCTCCACGCGCAGCACAGGAAGCGCGCGGCGCGGATCTCGCACGTCAGGTTCTCCGCCCCCGAGCCGGGCGCGCCTGCGGGGGCAAGATGGCCGCCATTGTACAAGATGGCCTCTGTGGGGCGATGACATCACCCCTGAGGTTCTGCCCCCTCGATGATGTCACCGCCAACCCTGGCTTTTCCAAACAATGTCATCCGTGATGTCATCTCTCTCGATGACATCACTGCAAATGACATCACCGCCAGCCAACGATGTCACCAGCTTGCCCCGCCCACCTGCGTTGAGGAAGCGCGCTGTCCCGTGCGCGGCCGTGACCCCGATCGTGCCGTTGACCTCGAGCACGACCCCGCGGTGCAGCTCCATCGGGGGGAACCGGCAGCGGCCAGTCCGGGGCTGCGGGGGCGGGGCGTAGACAGGAAGTGATGCCACGGGAAGTCCCGCCCTCACGGGATGGAGCCGGGGCAGGGTTGTGGCGGGGGCGGAGCCCACTCACCGTGACGCGCCGCCGCAGCCCCGCCCCCGGCGAGGTTACGGTGCAAGACGTCACCGCGGCGTCTTCCGGCGCCCAGGTCAGAGTCCAGGTCGTGGGGTCGAAGGTCAGGTTGAAGGCGAGGTCGGGGCCCAGCGGCGTCGCGACTGCGGGATGGGGCGGGGCTCTGGTCTGACTCGGCCACGCCCACCGAGACCCTGGCCCCGCCCCGCCCCCCTCACCTGTCAGCAGCGCAGAGCAGAGCAGGAGCTGAGGCAGAGGAGTGACGCCCATTGTGGAGATGTCGCCTGTGCGTCAAGCGGGGGGCGTGACCGGGGCGGGTCCCGCTAACCACGCCCGGGTGGGCGGGGCCGACCCCGCAATGTGCGACCCCGCCCCCTCGCTGGGCCCGCCCACCAAGCGCACGCGGGGCTGGAGGTGACGTCTCCGCGCCTCACGCTGCTAACTCGCCCGCATCCCCCTGCCTCAGGCCCGCGCCCGCGGTGGAAACTCGGGGCCGCGGCCGGACTGGGCGGAGCCCAGCCCCCGCCCCCCGCAGCCGGGGCCCCGCCGCGCGCTTCCCCTTTCCCACTTCCCCCTGCGGCCGCCGCGGGTCTGCGCACTGGGAGCCATCCCCCTGCCTCAGCTCCCGACGCCCTGCGCCCCGCGGGCCCCAGCACAGAGTAGGACCTGACGAGGCCGGAGCAGCCCCGACCCTCACCCGCCCTGCAGACTGCGACCCAGAAGCTGACCCCTGACCCCTCTCCGCCATCTTTGCCCCCAGGCCGACTCTACCTCGACCTTTGACCGCCCAAGTCCTCCCGCACGGCCCGGGCGCGCTGGGGGCCGGGGCACACAGTGGGTTCGCGCGTCCGCCCCCGGGAGGGAAGAGCATGAGCGCCGGGACACAGTGGGGCAGCACGAGGGGCGGGGAGCTCAGTGCGCAACCGGATTGAACCAGTTCGAGCCCGGGGTCCCCTTGACCCCCGAGACCGCAGCGTCGAACCGAGGGGACGGACAGGGTGGGCGGGGCCTAGGGGTGTGTCACCGCGGGGCAGGGCGGGTGCTCACCCGAGGCAGGGGGCTGCCGGCGATGGCCGCGGGGCTCCGGCTGCGTCCGTGCGTCCGATGGACTCGCGCTTCCTCATCGCCGCGTTGGGAAACCTGGAGGGGAAGCAACGCGGGGGCGGGGGCGTCGCGGTGGGGCGGGGCCCAGGGCCGGGCGCACAGTGTGGCCGCCGCGTCTCCAGCACGCTGAGCGCGCACGGGACGCGGTGTGACGTCAGTGCACACAGTAGGACCGCACGGGAGGGTGACGTCATAGACGCAGTGAGCGGGGCGGAGGCACACTGCGCCCGCGCTCAGAGACCGGTGTGACGTCACACAGCGGGCGGGGCCCGGCGCGCACAGTGTGACTTCAGCCTCGGACTCCGAGCCCCGACCGCACAGTGTGGCCGCACACGGGCTCACTCACCTGGGGCGCGGCCTCATCCGTCAGTCACTCGTGGCTCCGCCTCCCATGACCGCGACCCCGTGACGCCACCAATGACAGAACTAACCTGGGCGAGACCCCAGGGACCGCCCAGCCTCCTTGGTGCCGCGACTGTCAGTCACTCGAGGCCACGCCCACTCCTTAATCAATCATGTGAGCCCCGCCCCCAACCCTCCTGTCAGTCTCGAAGCCCGCCCCCAGCCCGGGGCACGCCTACAGACCGCGTCAGCCTCCAGTCTCCGCCCCCAGCCCGGGACGCCCACAAATCTGCCTGTCATACCCAAGGCCCCGCCCACATTCTCCTGGTCCATCACTCACGAAGGCCCCGACCCTCCCCCGCCCACGGCTTCCGGCCGCGACTTCCCCATCCGGGGACGAGGCCACGTCCACGCGGCTCGCCTCGCGAGCTGTCACGCACGCCGCTCCCGGCCCTGCCCTGGACATGCAGGCCCTGGCCTGGCTGCTCGCTGTCAGCCTCCTGCCGCAGATCCTCAGGCCGCCGGCGCAGGCGCAGGGTGCGGGTGAGAGGGGGCGTGGCCGGGCTGGCAAGAGGAGGGCGGGGGCGGTACTAGGGAGTATGGTAATTAGCAGTCCAGATGGTGTCGGGGGCGGGACCGGGCTGCTAAGATGGCGGCGGGGGCGGGGCGGAGATACTTAGTAAGGAAATTGGGGAGCGAGGTGCACCGTTGATCAGCCGCTTTGCATATTCATTAGTTCATCATTTATTAACTTGAGCCGCGTGTTCCGTGAGCTCGGTTCGCTTCTCGACTATGCAGGGAGGCCTCATGAATATGTAAACGGCGGATAATTTGCATGCTGGCGAGGCCCCACCCCTTACAGATCCAAGACTTGCTTCTTTGCATATTCATTCTCGCTTCATGCATAAACATGATCCGCTCCTCCCTTTTGTTTCCCTCCTGAATATTTATGTGGGATTCATGAATATGCAAATAACCCGCTGTGGCCGCTGCTGCCCGAGGGTCTGGAGCCGAGGCCGGGGATGGAGGGGGGACGTCACTCATCCGGCCGTGGGCGGGACTCGGGATCCTCGCGGGCGGGGAAGAGCCGCTTCTGCTCGCTCTCCTGACGTCATTTCGGGCCGTGAAACCGGAAATCCGGCGCGATTCGGTTCCGGACCGAGGCAGGGGAGTAACGGGATTGGCCAGCGGTGGGAGAAGTCAGGAGAGAATCCAAGGTCTCCGCCCCGGAAGTCCTGCACCGGACGCTTAGTGACAGGAAAGACAAGAAGGTTCCGCCCCAGGCGCGGAGCGACGTAACGGTTGTCGCGGCCCCGCCCCCTCAGGTGACGTCCTCACCGTCAACATCACCTGCCATGACCTGGAGACGGTGGAGGTCACGTGGGGCCCCACCCAGCACGGCCACGCCTTTCTGGCGGTGCGGAACCTAAGCCTCGACTTCCGGTGAGTGACGGGGTGGGGGGTGCTTCCTTCCAGGTCGTTAACGCTGGCCACTTTCTGCCTGTCAGTCACGTTTGAATGGGCGGGACTTCCTGTCTGCCCCCTCACTTCCGGTTTCTTTCCCGCTGACCTCGCCCTCTCCACGGACGCCCCGCCCCCACAGTTACGGAGCCCGCGACCCCCTGCCCTGCCCGCACTACCTTCTGCTCGGCGGTGACGTCACTTCCGGGTGCATCCTCCCGGCGAGGGCGGGGCTTCTGAATATCACACTGAGCGACGGAGGCGGGTCCAAGGTTTTCTCTCGGAGTCGCCGCCCGTCGGCCTGGCGTGAGGAGCGGCGGGTGGGGGGGCGGGGCTAGCGGATAGAAAGTGGGTGTGGGCGGGGCCAGTAGACAGGAAGTGGATTGGGGCGGGGATAGCACGAGGCCGGGTGCACGACTTGACACAAACGGTGGGCGTGGTCAGAAGCAGGCCCGCCCTAAACCCGGTGACGCGGAGGTGATCTCGCCCCGTACCCACCCCCTGCAGTGAAGCCCCGCCCCCCGTGGAACGTCACGCTCTCGTGGACCGCGGCCGACGCCCTCGCCGTGTCCTGCCCCGCCCACCCCTACCCAGGCCTGGACTATGACGTGCAGCACCGCGACGCCTTCGACCCCGAGTGGCAGGCGAGTGACGGCTGGAGGGCGGGGGTGGGGCTTGTCCGTCACCCGCCCGACGTCATAGCCCCGCCCACGGACCCTCTGCACACCCCGTGACGCAACCCACGACCTTTGACATCACCGAGTCTCGACGCCGCGTTCTAGCCCCGTCCACGACGCCGCGTTGTCCCTCCCCATGACCTTGTGACCCCGTCCCGTGACCCCGCCCGTGACCCCGTCCCCGCAGACGACGTCGGCGCCGCGCTGCAACCTGACGGTGGGCGGCCTTGACCCGGGGCGCTGCTACGACCTCAGGCTGCGGGCGCGGCCGCAGGATTTCTACTACGGCCTCGAGGCGCAGGCGAGCGAGTGGACGCCCGTGATGCACTGGTGGGGGGCGGGGCCCGCTGGTGAGTGACAGGCCGTGCGGGGCCTGCAGTGATGTCACAGGTTCACTGATAAGCTCGGGGTGGGTGGAGCCTCGGGTGACGTCACAAAAGGCCTCTCACCAACGCCCCGCCCACCACAAGCAGCCTCCTGCGCCCCGAGCCCGAGCCCGGCCCCGCCCACGCCCCTCCCCCTGGCCTGCGGCCTCGCGACCCTGCTGACCCTGGCGCTGCTCCTGGCGCTGCTGCGGCTGCGCAGGTGAGGCCGGGGCGGACCCGGGGTCAGAGGTCACAGCTCAGTGGAAGGTCACAGCCTAGGTGAGGCGACCTGGGAGGGGTCGGGGGTCAGGGGTCAGGCGACCGGGTGGTGTTGTGTAGGTGCGTTGGTTCAAAGGTCGTGGTCAGGATTCAAAGGTTACGTGAGTTGAGAAATGCTCGGGGTCAGAGGTCAGGTGACTGGATGGGGCAGGGGGCGGGGCTCAGCGTGACCCCCGGGGTGACCTGCGACCCCCGACCCCAGGGTGAAGGAGGCGCTGCTGCCCTGTGTGCCGGACCCCCGCGGCTCCTTCCCAGGCCTCTTCGAGAAACACGGCGGGAACTTCCAGGTGGGCGGGGCCAGGGCAGGGGCGGGGTCATGGGCGACGCCACGCCCATCTCCAGGGACACCGGGTGTGCCAAAGCCCCACTTCCTGTTTGGTGGGCAGAGCCCCGCCCACGTTTTATCGTTGACCCCGCCCTCGTCAAGACCCCGCCCTCGTTTCCCTCCCAACCTCTAAATCCAACTTCCTGTCTGGGGAGTGGGCTCAGCCCGGGTCCTGCCCCCTGCTCCCCACTTCCTGTTTGCTGAGTGGCAGGTGCAGAGGCCCGCTTACTGTTTAGATTGACAGGCATTTAAGGCCCAGGCACCGCCCCCTCACCTCGCCCCTCCTCCTCAGGCCTGGATCGCCGACGCCGAGGCCGCCGCCCCCGCCACCACGAAGCCTGAGGAGGACGACGACGTCATCCGGCTCCAGGGAAAGTGGGCAGAGCCTGAGCTCGGCCCCGCCCTGCCGATGCCGGGCCCAGTGGGTGGAGTCCTGGTTTCGGTGGGTGGGGCCACGTTTGTGGTGGACGACATCGGCTACGTGACCCTGTGACCCCAGAGGTGGCTATAGGTTGGCACTGGGGCCACGCCCACCGCCTGTCAGTCACCCACCTTGACCTCTGTGAAGGGTGACGAGGACACGCCCCAGATGCTGCGCACACCGGGTGTCCGAGGGTCACTTCCTGTTAAAGGTGGAAACCGGCTCTTGGCTTGCGTGCGTTCTTACGTCACTGGGTCGCGCCAGGATCAGGGTCGAGGGGTCCTGAGGTCACACGGAGGTTGCGGGGAGGTCCGGGGTCCCCTCCTGCCCTATGCTGCCGCATTGACCTCCAACCCCAGTGTGTCCCATCTCCTGGGTGACAGGAAGTGACGTCATGTGGCAGGAATGGGCGGGGCTGAGCCTCGCGGCGCCCGTCACTCGAGCCGCATGTTTCGGAAACAGAAGTGACGCCCCCAGTGACCTGCCGCCGGTCACACTCACGGGTGGGCGCAGGCCCCGCCCCCTGACGTGACTGACAGCCCAGGTGGGCGAGGTAATGCGTGATGTCACTGGGATTTTGCCCGAGACCAGGCGAGGCATCATGGGACTTACTGTCAGGCCATAGCAAGGAAGGTGAGGCAGGGGGATGATGCCTGAGGCCTGTTAGTTGCTTCACAGGGCGCAGGACTTTCTCCCCACGGCAGTTTCCTGTCACCCCACCCGCGAGTCAGGTGGACCCACCCCCATGATCCCGCGACTCATGGTTATGCAAATTACCCCCATTGAGGGGTCTCATGAATATGCAAATGGCCCCAACTCTGGCCAGGTTTCTCATGAGTATGCAAATGAGCATGCAAATCTATCCCAGTTAATCTCAGGTTTCATGAATATGCAAATCAAACTCAATAGGTGGCTCATAGATATGCAAATCACCTCCGGCCTGGTCTGGTTCCCTCAAACTTTCCTGACAAGGGCAGGAAGTGATGTCATTCCGGGCTGGGGACAAGGCCTAAGCGCTGGTCGCTGTAACTCAGGGACAGGAAGTGGCCTCCAGGACAGGCTGGCGGAGATGGGTGTGGCTTTGTGATGTCATCAACCTGAGGGTGGGCGGGGCGAGGCACACCTACCCTCGGATGGTCAGTGATGTCACTTCCTGTCCCAGACACCTTCAGATGTCGCCTGACACTAGACAAGAAAGGGGCGAGGCCAAGAGCACAGGAAGCCCCGCCTACCATGAGTACTAGCCCAGCCCACAGGACAGAGACAGAGAGTGATGTCATGGTACGGTCTCCGTGGTGCCTCACACCAGGCATCATGGGAACTCGAGCCGTAACCATGGGGTCGGGACGCGGTCTCCGAAAAACTGAAAGTTGTCGCGCCCCCAGAGACGTCATCACGGTTGTCTCAGTCAATCCTCTGCCTCAACTCCAGGGCTGGGTCTGAGGTCGTGTGGGCGGATACAGAAATGGTTTACATGAATATTCATGAATATGCTAATGAACCGGGAACGTGAAGATTTAATCACAGACGAATAAGGTCTGAGGTCGTGACCCGGAGTGGGCGTGGCATGCTGGACGGGGCAGAGCTGGAGGCAAGGGGGCGAGGCCTGAGCCCCGTGTGGGCGACGACATGCAAATGAGCTCCAGGCCACCCGGAGCACCTATGCTAATTAGCCAGGGTCAGTGAACAACTGGAGACGCAGCTGCCAGGCCGTGGGGGCGGGGCCTGGGGTCACGGATGACGTCATTGATCCTAACCCCGGCTTCGAATCCAAGCCAAACCCGGATGTTGAGACGTTTATTCGCGGTGGGCGCGCGCGCTTTCGAGTCTTCTCTTGACAGGAAATAAAATCAGGATTGGGGCTCATGCAGGGGCGGGGCTTCATGACGGGACAGGAAGTGATGTCATCGCCTTCGAAATCTGGGGTTTACACCTTAGGTTGGGGGTCACGGGTCACACTGAGGCTGAGGGCTAGCCTGGGGTAAGAACAGGAGACAGGAGAGGCTCAGGTGAGGTCAAAGGCGGGGCCTTCTGGGCGGGGCTGGAGTTCGGTGTGGAGAGTGGGCGGGGCCAGGGAAGAACGACAGCGCAGCCTGTGGCGCGGCGCTGGGGATGATTGATGGGTGATGTGGGAGGTGCTTGTCACTCCGCTGTGGGCGGGGCTTGGGGAACACTCTTCTCAGACAGGAAGTGATGTCATCACAAACAAGTTCGGCATCAAAGGTCGGCCCCGCCTCGGAAGTGAGGTCAGAGCCCCAGGGCGGCCGCGTGCTTCCGGGCCTTGAGCCTCAGGTCTGCGATGCTCGAGCTCCTCACAGGCTCCGCCCCCTGAGGCCCCGCCCCCGCCAGCCAAGTCCCCGCCCCAGGGAAGAAGTGCGGGGGCGGGAACACGAGGTAGGGCGCGGTCACGGGGGGGAGGAGCTGTGCATGGGCCACGCCCTCCTGCTGCAGCCGGACCTGTGGGGGACAGGAAATGACATCACAATGAACAGGAAGTGATGTCTTCTGGACAGGCAATGACATCAAACGCGGACATGCAGGAAGTGAGGTCACGGGGCGGGGCTCACCTGGCAGGGCAGGCGCAGGGCGGCCATGTTGACGTAGGGCGCGAGGCGGCAGGCGTCCAGGGAACCGGGGCCGTGGGCGGCGCCTGCGGGGGCGGGGCCAGTCGGACAGGATGTCCGGCCCTCTCGCGACCCGCCCTCACCACAGGGGCAGGGTCTCTGTTTGACGGGCAGGAAGCCACGCCCACACGCGTCCACCCCATGGCCACTGTGGCTGACCCCGCCCTCCCGAGGCCCCGCCCTCCCGAGGCCACGCCCCTCACCTCTGTGCGTCTCCTGCTTCCTGCACTTCGCGCGCCGATTCTGGAACCACACCTGCGGGCGGGGCTTAGAATAGTGGGCGGGGCTCGGACGGACTGTGGTCGGCCATCCCCCTGCCTCAGCATGCCCGGCCCTCACGCTCATCCACCGGCTGCAGTTCCCCGCTCCTGGCCGCCCCGCGAGCCGTCGCTGCCTCACTCCATCACTCGCGGCGATGCCCCTGCCTCACACTTCCAGTCACTAGCACTCGCGGTCAGTCCCCCGCCGCCGCCGCCGCGCAGCTGGCGCTAATGAGAAGTTATGAGCCGCGCGAGGGAATCCGATTTGCGCCCGTGCGAGGCGGGGGCGGCGACCCCACGGGGGCGCGGCGGGTGTCGGGGCCTCGCTTCTGTCTTTCCGTGTTTTAACAACGAAAGCTGCGGCAGGGGGACGGCCGCGAGTGCTCGGCTCCCGTTTACCCGTCCGGACCCGCGTCCCGCGAAGCGGGAACGAAATCCAGGTCCGCGGGGTGACGCGGGTCGCGGGTCCGGGGTCACGGGGCTGGGGCGGGGCTGTGGGCGTGACCCTCGCACCCCCGTGGGCCCCGCCCCCTGACCCCGCCCGCGTTCGTTGATCGACGCGGTGACCTCGGGCGAGCGCCCTTGGCCGCGCTCTGCCCCGCCCCGGGCAGCCAGACCACGCCCAGGCCACGCCCGCGCCCCGAAGCCCCGCCCAGCAACAGGCCCCGCCCCTCTGCCATCTTTTTCCCGCGCGTCCGTCATTGACACATCGTCGTGATCGCTCGTTTAAATAAAATCGATTATTTTTAAACCCTGCCCCTGTGGCCCCGCCCTTAACACGAGGCTCCACCCCTGCCACGCCCGGCACCCGAGACCCCGCCCCCGGGCTCTTCCCGCGCACGCTTGCTGATTGACTTCGTAGTAGTTGCTCATTTAAATAAAAACCGATTATTTTAACCCCGCCCCATCCCGGGCCCCGCCCACGCTCCAGGCCCCGCCCCGCACCTGCACCCGCGCCTCCGGGAGCCCCAGCCGCGCGCTCAGCTCCTCCCGCGCGAAGGCGTCTGGGTAATGCGAGTCCTCGAACGCGCGCTCGAGCGCCCGCAGCTGCTCCGCCGTGAAGCTCGTGCGGCTGCGCCGGGGCCGGGGGGCGGGGCCTGCGGGGGCGGGGCCGGAGTCACGGTCACTCGCGGTCACTCGCTGTCATCCCCCTGCCTCACACTGTAACTCGCGGTCAACCCCCTGCCGTAGATCCATCCGTCCATTCCCCCCCAGGACGGGGGGCGGGGCCTGCGGCGACGTGGGGGGAGGGAGTCAGGGGTCGCGGGTGACGTCAGATCCCGCAGCGGTGATGTCATCGATCCAAATATTAAAACGAATTTAAACCCCGGGGCGGGGCCACAGGAAACCCGCGCGGGTCTGTGACGTGACGCGCCCGGGGTCGCGGGGTGAAAGCCGTCAGTCCCCTGCCGCGGACCGGACGGGACGCGCGGTGCCAGCCAGTCCCCGGCCGCGGATTCCGTTGTCGGGGAACTGGCCGCTACTCCCGTGCCGTAGATCCGTCCGTCCCTCCATCCGCGGCCCCGGCCCGTCACTCGCAGCCATCCCCCTGTCGTAGATCCGTCCGTCCCCCGGGCCCTGCCCGCCGCGCCCCCGCCCGCGGACCGCGCTGAGGACTGCGCCGCACTCACCCCCGGGGTCCGCGCCGCCGTCGTCCCCGCGCGGACCGCGGTGAGAGCCCCGCGGCCCCGGCCCCGCCCCCGCCGCGTGGTCCCCGCGGGGCGCGAACTCGGACACGAAGGCGGCGAGCGGCTCCATGTCGGGGTCGCGGGCTCCGAGCGCCGCCCCGCCCCGGCCCCGCCCACCGCGGACGCCGCCCACGCCCACCGCCGCGGGCTCCCGTGGGGAAACGGCGTCGGAGGCCGGGGGATGACGGCGAGCGACAGGGACGGACCGATGTACGGCAGGAGAGTGACCGCTAGTCCCCGACAACGGAATCCGCGGCCCGGGAGTGGTCGGCGCCGCGCGTCCCGTCCTGTCCGCGGCAGGGGACTGACGGCTTTCACCCCGCGACCCCGCGGGCCCCGACCCCCGGCCCTGGCGGATGGACCGACGGATCTCCGGCTGGGGGATGACTGCGAGTGACCGCGAGCATCCGAGTCAGGGGGATGACCGCGTCTGCAGGATACGAGGCAGGAGCGTGACTGCGATAATGGAGGCAGGGGAGTGACCGCGACCGTGGAGCTGCGGCCGGAAGATGACATCGAGTGGGGTCCGAGGCAGGGGAGTGACCGGAGTTGTGGGGAGCCGGGGGCAGGGCTTACGCCCTCAGTAAAGAATGATTGACAGGCGCGGGGGCGCCCCGGCCCCGCCCTTGGGCTTCGGAATGGAATTATGCAAATCACGGCAATTATGCAAATGAGACCCCCCGCCCCGCTCCGCAAACCGGATTATCCCGGACGCAGCTGCTCGCGACTGAGATTAGGGGGGGCGGGGTCCCTGAGCTTCCCAGGCCCCGCCCCCGGCCCCTCGGTCCCGCCCCTTCCCACCCTGCGACTGTTAGCTGAGCTCTGCCGGGTGTCGGCCCCGCCCACAGCGCCCAGGCCCCGCCCCAGTGTGAATGCCACGCCCCTCCACTCTGCTGTCAATGCTGCCGCAGGGGGATGACCTCCAGGGACGGAGTAGGAGGCAGGTAGCTGGACTACCGCAGGGGGATAGCTGGGATGGAGCTGAGGCAGGTGGATGACGCTCAGTACCGATTTCTCACGCGCTGAACTCCGACCCCGGCGGGTGCTGTCGCGGCGGAGCGAGGGATTCCCGGCCCGGTGACGTCACACCGGGGAAATCCCCCAGGACTGACCCCGCCTTCTGTCTGTCATTCATTCTCTTGCCCCGCCCCACACTGCCAATCACGCTCTCCCGCCCCGGCAGTCAGTCACGCGGCCCCGCCCCGCTGTCAATCATCATAATCCAGAGTAAACTGAAATCCGAGCGCGCTTCCCCCGGGACCTGAAATTGAATCTGAGGGGCGGGGCGGGGTCAGCGGAGGGGGCGGGGCCTCCCCAGGGTTCCCCCCCCGCCCCGCCCCCTCCCCAGCCGCGGGGGCCGCCCGGAGACGGGGACGCGATCCGCCCCATCCCTCTGCCTCAGCTACACCATAGACGTTGTCCCCCTGCCTCACACTATGCACTCCCTGTCACTCCTGGTCATCCCCCTACCTCAGTTCCATCCCCACCATCAAGGCCATTCTGCTGCTTCAGCGGCATCAGGGCCGTCCCCGTGCCTTAGCTCCCTCTCCGCCATCCTAGTCATTCCCCAGCTTCAACTCCATCACAGTCATTCCCCTGCCTCGGGTAGAAAACTGACAGGTGGGGTGACTGACAGGAGCCTGGCCCCGCCCATCTTCAGTGAATGACAAGAGCAGGGTTCACGTGATTCTTTATTCCGTCTTCGGGATTCGAACTCGTCTGTCTCAATACAGCGTGCGGGACGACGGTAGAGCATGCGCAGCACGGCACTGACCGTCAGGCGCGCATGCGCGAATCTTCTAACGGACACCGCGCGTGGGCGAACACCGCGAGGGCTCCGCACACTGCAGATGCGCTGTAACCCGCCGGATGACACACTGCGCACGCGCCGCCCCTCCCGCATGCGCACAATTGCGCATGCCCATTTGCCCGGTTTCGAATTCGGCCTCGGGAGCGGCAACGCGCATGTGTACCACGCTTCCTTGTACTCCGAGACTGACAGGCTCCAGACCGAATCCTAGCGGCTCCGGAGTGTACCGGGCGACGCTGTTTAATGACACGAGGCGACATGGTCGCCCTGCTGACTCGGCAACCGCGCCATCCGAATCCCACGCCCCCCGCGCCCTGTTTTTATATTTATTTTTGTCGCGTTTCGTGACGTAATTTCCGCGCGCCCGGTTCACCAGCGCGGACCGACCTCTGGGGTTGGACATAAGTGATTGTCACAGAGAAGGGGCGAGGTCCCGGCACCTGTCAGTCACACTGCCTGTCAGTCCGGGCGACAGGTGTCGGGGCCCGGATCTCGTCAGTTACATAACACGGCCGTTCGTTGTGGGCGCAGCCTCTGCTACGCCATCAACCGGCGCCCGGTCGCCCAGCGGGTCCGTTTCGCCGCCCCCGCAGGCGTGTCTGTTCGTCCGTCTCGAGTCCGTTACGTTGCGTTCGCCGCCAGTGACGTAATTACGGCGCGCCCACTCCCGTAAATCAGTCGGCTGGTCTGCTCTAACTATCGGATCGGACGCCTTGTTCTGGTCGCTGCCCGCGACGTCATCACTGCGCGGCCACGTGTTGTCGCTGCGAACTTGTGACGTATTGAATACGCACTAGATCAGTCCCCGCGGCCGGAGCGTCCGTTTCGCGGCCGCCGCCGCGGGCGCGTCCGTCGGTCCGTCCGTCGGGAGGCCCCGCTCGCGGCCCCGCCTCCGCAGCCGCTATGCCCCCTGGGAAGCCCCTGCAGCCTCGGCTGCAGATGAAGGTAGACGAGCTTTTCCGGCGCTGGCTCAGCGATCCCGACACGCAACGCGAGCTCAGCGACGGCCTGCGGCGCATCCGCGATGACGTCACGACCGACCTCGCGACCCCCAACCCCGCAACCCCAGCGCCGCACCAGGGCGCCCTGCCGGCTCCAGGACCGCGGAGGACGACGGGGCACAGAGCGGTGAGTGCCTGGATCTCAGGGTGGGCAGGGCGTGTGACATCACAGCAGGACGGTCCTCTGACGTCACGGGGAAGCCCTGCAGCCTGGATGACAGTAATAATGGGCGGAGACGTGCGTCGGGGTCACATCCGGGTCACCGGGAGGGTCGTTGGGGTCATAGCGGCGCACAGGTCACGATGAGGTCCAAGGTCGAGGTTTACACGCGACATTGTGGACACATTCCTCAAGGATAGGTCAAGGGTCGCGCACGAGGTGGGGGGTATCACTGCCGCGGGGCGAGGGGAACCGGAAACACCGCTCACTCCATCCGGGAGTCTCCAGCCACGCCAAGGCCACTCCCCCGCCACAGCTGTCCGAGCCACGAGTGGAGTCACGTGACCTGGGGACTAACGAGGGCAGCGGGGAGCGGCCGCTTGCGGACGGGCGGATCCAGGGCGGATCCAGGGAGGACAGGGCCCCGAGTGTGACCCTGCGGTGACCCCTGACCTCTGACCTCTGACCCGGCGCGTCATGGCCGCTGCGCCGCCATGAATGGATCTCGCTGAGCGCCGACCCCGCCCCCCGGGGTCCCGGAGCCCCGCTGCCCCGCCCCCCTCCTGCCCAGTGCACATGCGCACGCGCACCCCGTTCTCGCGCCGCGACCCCGACGACCCTGCGGTGCGGCAGGCGCTGGCGGCGCTGGCGCGGGGCTGCGACCTAGTGTTCCCGTCGCGCTTTCGGAAGCGACTGCGGGACTTCCGGCAGGTGCGGCGTCGCGGGGGGGGGGGGGACGCGGCGTAGTGAGAGTGACGGGAGGGGCGTGGTCTCCGGTGCTGCGGGGTCAGAGTGACGGGAGGGGCG